TCACATTCCCTGTCCACCATTGCACATCCATAATATTATTCATCCTCCCTTCCTCCATCACCAGCTGTTCCACAACAGAAGACAGGTGTGTCTCCCCCACACAGATGGAGACCAGCCCCAATCATCCTACCAACCAATCCTGTTAGAGGAAGAGAGAATAAGAGGCCAGTCCTCCCACACTTCTGGTTCAGTCTGAACAGCCTTCCAGACAGTGCACATCATGAACAGCTCTCTTACAAACGTGCTATCATTTTGTTTTACACCTGATGAAGACCAGTCACGGTCGAAACATCGTGTTTTTATCCTCAATATAGCACCTTTTAACCTTTCAACCCGTGCAATTTTTATATTCCATCTAGACCTTAAAGGTCTCTCATTTGTCTCCCTCATAAAGGAGACAATCTGAATTTTAACCCTTTTAATTTCCTTTGAATTAAAATCTTTAAAAAAAATAAAAACAAAAAAACAACAAAATGCCAGAGTATAACTGGACTCCAACACTCAGACCCATACGATACTCACCATACGCCTGCAATGGTCCACAGGGGACCCACTTGCACTATGGTCTGTCCACACGCGACCATAGAGCCCACAGCCGCAGTCCCCCCCTGGGCCTGCGAGAGAGAGTGAGTCACTGGAGAGAGCCCACCTACCACCTATACTACACCTGGAACTCCAACCAGACCGCCCAGCACGGATGGAGAAATAAGGCCCGTACACTTCCCGACTCCACAAGTTGGAGGAGGGATCCCATACATTTACCTAACCTGTCAGTGCCTATCTCCCCAACCGTGCGCTATCGAGGCGGCCCACGCTCCTACGCAGACGTGATGAGGGAAGTTCCCCGTAGATCCCCACCCAGACCCCCACCCAATATACAAGAGGACTCACCAGTAAGACAGGCGGCGCCCCCACACATGGCCAGGTCTATCCGCCTCATTTACAGGACCCTGCAACTGACCCACCATCTGTCCTGCCTGTCAGATGAACACGGGGCGAAAGGCAAGGAGAGGATCCATAGTCTGGCAAATGACCTTAAAAGCATGATCAAACCCGCAGCCCTTAATGAGACGACAAGACAACTGTTGAATGAAAATGCACGCACCTGGGGACAAGAAACCATTAAAATTCTCAAAACACACTACGAAACAGAGATAAAATACAACGTGGACCAAATGGATAGCATCGTGGACCATGACTGGGTGGATGCATTCATGGTAGCCAAGAGATGGGCCAAAAACAGTCTGCCTAGGATCAAACAGACCACATTACAGCAAGTAGAGGACCTAATTCTGGATGGGGCCTGTTTTAAGAGAAACCCAATCGAACTGGACATGAGCACACTGACTGAAAACACTCCCGACCCCTCTAAAAACTCACCTACCGCCCAAGAACGTGGGGACGAGGCTAATACACCAGTTAGAAGGAGGGGCACAGGAGTGAGCTTCCCCCAGGACTCCTCCACACAGCCGCCCCCGGAGCCCACAACCAGCTCGCCCGGGCCTTCGCAACGGGAACCACGCTCCGAGCTAAGAGATCGCACCGACGCTGACCCCCCGCCAGCACTGCAAGCAAACTTTGACCTGGAGCCAGCCACAGACTCGGACACGGATGAGGAAGAGGGAAGCCAAGTCTACAAAATAGAAAAACATAAGGTTACCAACAGGAAGAAGGAGGACTGGTCCTTGAGAGTGACCAGGCCCGTTTTGATCCTGGGAGATTCTAATGTCGCCAGGATCACAGGGGTCGATCCTGGGACCTCTCCTATTTAATCTCTACATGCTGCCGTTAGGTCAGTTAATACAAAGAAACAAAGTGTCCTACCACAATTACGCTGACGACACTCAGATCTATGTCTCACTGACTGCAGGAGAACATGGACCACTGGATTTGCTCCTTCACTGTATCCAACAGATCAGTGACTGGATGCAAAATAATTTCCTCCAGCTAAATACAGACAAAACCGAAATCATTGTCTTTGGTCCCCAGAAACAAAGAGAGGGCGTCATTTGTCAACTTCAGTCTCTCTCCCTACTTCCTTCAGACAAGGTCAGAAATTTGGGGGTAATACTGGACTCAGACCTAAATTTCAATAGCCACATAAAATCAATAACATCAACAGCTTTTTACCACCTGAAGAACATTGCCAAAGTTAGAAATATAGTGTCCAGGGCAGACTTGGAGATTCTTGTCCATGCATTTGTCTCCAGCAGGCTAGACTACTGCAATGGCCTGCTTACAGGTCTGTCCAAACAGACCTGTAAGCAGCTGCAGTACATCCAAAATGCAGCAGCTAGAGTCCTGACAGGAACCAGGAAGTATGACCATATTAGTCCGGTCCTCAGGTCTCTGCACTGGCTTCCTGTGGCTCAAAGAATAGATTTTAAAACGGCTCTGCTTGTGTACAAGTCTCTCCATGGCCTTGCACCAGAATACATTAGTGACATGTTGGTGTCATATGAACCGGCCCGGACTCTGAGGAGCACAGGGACTGGCCTCCTGCTGGTGCCCAGAGTGAGAACCAAACATGGGGAGGCTGCGTTTCAGATCCATGCAGCTAAGATCTGGAACAATCTCCCTGAAAATGTGAGGGAGGCGTCTACTCTGTCAATGTTCAAATCCAGGTTAAAGACTGTTCTGTTTGCCTGTGCATACAACTGAAGGATTTTATCTCCATTTTTAATGCACTGCTGTCATTTATTTATTTTTTTAAATTTCTTGTGTAATTTTGAAAGTTTTAATGGTTTTATTCTTTTGTGTGATTTTAATGTTTTAATTGTGTTTTAATCTTTTGTGTGATTTTAATGTTTTAATTGTGATTCTGGTGTTTGTTTTATGTGATGATTTGTGATGTGGACTGTGAAGCGCTTTGTGTTGCCATGTGTATGAAAGGCGCTCTACAAATAAACTTTGATTGATTGAGGATCAAGGATCACACCTTTCCCTTCCTTCAAATCGACAGCTTTCCCGGAGCCAATCTACTTCACGCGACAGAACTCCTCAGGAACACACCAAATCAGCCCCAAGTAGAGAGCGTGGTCCTCTCCTTTGGGCTGAACAACAGACAGCAAAAACAGAGCGAGACAGGCATTAAACAAATGCAGAGCCTGATCAGGGAAGCCAAAAAGACATTTCCAAATGCCAACATCAGAGTGCCTCTGATCCAGACCTCAAGAGAGCTCCCCCCAAAGGAGAGAGGTGTGATAAAACTTCTTAACCATCACTTGGAGAAAAATATGCCCTACATCAAAGAACTGCCAAAAGAAGAATTTGTAACCAGGACGGACAATATACACTGGACAGAAATAACAGCTAAAAGAATGTTACAACATTGGGTCCACGAGTTGAACTTGGACCCCTTCCAGTTCTGCATTTTGGGCAACTTTGTATGCATTTCTGGCTACTTTTAAGTAGCCCCTGGCCCACAGCTATTCCAAAGTTTATGTTAGCAAATGAAGAGCAATAGCATTCAAAAGGTGACACATTTATTTAAAATAATTAAATACAAACTAAATAAAACACATCTATAAAAACAAAACACATCTATAAAAACAAAACACATCTATAAAAATAAAACACATCTATAAAAATAAAACATCTATAAAAACAAACGTCTATAAAACAAACACATCTATAAAACAAACAAATCTATAAAAATAAAGAATGGAATGTGTGCGTGTTTCCAGCCATCACCGTCACGTCACGGACTGTTTTCACTGAAGGAAAAAATTGAATTAGAGAAAGGAAAGAACAATGCGTGACACAATTGTGAACCTTTACCCAGGAGCAAGGGGATGCAGCTGACCAGGACCTCTTTGGACTCCTGCTTCTGGACTTTTTATGGCCCTCAGGACTGCTGGGTAGCTGTAGATGAATCATTCCCAATAAACAAGAGACTTATTTACTAACAAAAATCTGTTCCAACTCACGCTCTTAGATGGTCCATGTTTCTCCAACTTCTCCATGTTCATTGGGCCGGAAGAAGAGTTTCCCACATTAGTCCGCTGCAAGGGCAAGTAATGACTAATCAATCTCCGATCAACCTTTAAAGAATACCCCAAGGCGCAGAAAAAGTAGCCCCTAATGCGATTGCAATAGGGGCTACTTTTTCTGCTTTTTGGAGCACATTGTTCCCAGTGTGCAGTAAGCATACCTCACAGGAAGGTACTGAGGAAGCAGAGGAAGCATTCACACTCGGCGGTGTGGTCATTAATGACCGCCGGGTCGAGGGCGACCGCTGGCTCCTCTGGGTCGAGGGGGACCGCTGGCTCCTCTGAGTCGAGGGGGACCGCTGGCTCCTCTGGGTCGAGGGGGACCGCTGGCTCATATACCCCAGACTGCTCTGACTCTTGGACATCTTCGTCCTGGGCTGGCTCCTTGTCAGTGCTCTATGGTGGGGACAGGTAAATACAGGGCATGTGAGTATAAGTGGTAATAGTCGTTTATTCTGGTATAAAGCAGAACTCACAAAGAGTGCAGATGGGCACTGGGAGTAAATCACAGCGTTTTCAAAGAAAAGCATTATTTTCTCTTTGTACCTACCTTTTGCAATGAGGTAGGTACAAAGAGAAAATAATAAATATCATATACTTTACCTCCAACTCCCGGATCCTGAACTCCCTCTGAATGCAGGAGGGGTTCCGGCATTCAGAGGCAAGGTCCAACACCGAGGCCATGGGAGGTTGTGGGTCGGTAGCCCGCAGCTCCGACAGCCGCTTCAAGGCGGCATCCCTGCGGGCTACCTGCTGGTAGGCCTCCCTTCTGCCAGGGAGCAGATCACTGTGGCCCTCTATATAGTTGGAGAGTCGTCTCCTAAAGAGACCACACCCTGGGACCGGGCATGTTCCCTTTCCAATGTCAACCCTGCCAGTGGATATGGCGTTCAGTATACTCCTCTCCCTTGCGTTTTTAATGCGATGCACCTCGCGGATGTGTTTGCTTGTATGCTGCAAAACTTTGAGGCATATGGGGCACTGGCCCGACACTTTGGGCTTAGTCATCTAAATGAAAGGACAGAGGAACATAGTATTAGCAGTAGTAGAAGCAGTAGCAGTAGCAGTAGTAGTAGTAGTAGTAGTTGGAGAGCACTTACAGCTGTGATGTTCTCAATGCTGGTGCTGGTACTGAGAACTAGAGGAAAAGGCAACAAAGACTCATTTTATTGCATAAAACATAAAAAAGTAGTAGTAGTAGCAGTAGTAGTAGCAGCAGCAGTAGCAGTAGTAGTAGCAGTAGTAGTAGCAGTAGTAGTAGCCCAACTTAAAGATGGGCTACTTTTCAGTCAAGTAGCCCATCTTGCAATTGTAACTTGGGCTACGTTTTCTAAAGAAAATGTGTAAAAACAATTTCAAATGTAAAGAATATAATTATAATAATGTGGAATTGGCTCTAGAATCACTGATAATGAAAATATGAAAATATACAGAAGAGCAGCACTGACAAATGTTTGACATTGTTAATTGCATGGCTGGCATTTGCAGCCTCTGGAATAGGGCTGGAAAGCGGAAGTGCGAGATTTTGCGAGATTTCCACCCGTGGATACAAACAAACCACACGTGCCAGTTGTACGGTGCGGAGATCGCCGACTTCTTCCTCGTTAATGGACTTTCCTGTGTTATTTTGGACACATTTCGTCTCTGTGTGAACGGTCGGAGTTAGCTGTGAACTGGCCATGTGCTGACGTTTCCATATGACGGGGAGATGAGAAAGGCACAGGGCCGTGTTCAAATATACAGTCTATGGTTCAAACTCATTGTATTTTAATCCACTATCACGCATCAGAAAGAATATAGAAACACTATTCCTTTGCAAATAAATTGATGTTGTCCCTTACAGCTGTCTTTGCTGCGTTGGTTATAAGCCAATGTTTATGAATGATCAGTTTTCTATCTGTTCATCAGCTCCATCTCCACTTCAAACTCACTGCAGCTTCACTTTGGGCCTTTTTCCTTTTTGCTGTGCTGTCAAAAATAACATGATGTAGTTGGGTTACCTATTCATTTAATACTAATGATTGTCCGTTTTCTGTTATATTTGAACATTTGTTAAATGTTATTTAATACGTGTTAATATGTTCCCCCTTTATCTCTCAAATAAATAAATGTTTGAGAGACAATATTTATCCTGTGTGACATCAATAAAGTTTCTTATCCTAAAATACAAGCCACATTTAAAGGCTTGACCGCGCACTATTACAGGTTAGCATTAGCTACAAGTTAGCTTGAATACATGTTCAAGTTAACTGTCTCTGAAATCAGACAAAATATTTTATCAGAACTGCATAGCTTTTCCTACAGCTTCAGTTGGTCTTTGGGAAACCTAAAGAATGAGCATGTGTCGCGTAAACTGTGATGATTACAGCCGAAAACAAACCAGAGCATTTTGCACCATTCATTTAAAGTGGTTCTCACCCCCGCTCCTCACGGCCTACGTCACTCACACTTCCTTTTCAAAATCTCCCTCCAAATGGGCGTAGCCTGGAGGGCTAAAGGGGACAGGCGGGGGGGTGAATGTTGGGCGGGTCTAAGCTTTGAGTGACACTTGACATCAGCATTGGCCGTGTCAATGATGGAGAGTGAACACAGCGACGCCAGCTCCACAGCTTCTGTGCGGTCTTGGGAGGTGGAGGACTTCTCTCCACCGTCCTCACCGGAGGTTGAGAGAGAGGAGGCAGACAGTGGCCCTCAGCCCTATCAATTTGAGCCGCTAGCGCCACCGGGGGAGCCGATGCTGCAGAGGCAGCGGAGGCAGCAGACCGCCACAGAATGGGGCCTGTTTCTGAATGGTATATATAGATTTGAGAGGGGAAAAAAAATACCCACTGCTTGTTACAGGTCTTGAAGAGCAATCATGTAGGGATCCGGACCACGAAATGCTAACCTGTCTGAATTGAACCTTTTGAGAAGAGTGGGAATTTATGTAGCCTAACACATTCCCATACAGTAACCCCTTATGTTGCGTTGCTTTGCTAGACAGTTTTGTCTGTACATTATATTTATGAACCCAGACCAAGATAAACTATATGTTGTGGGACCATATAGTTATATTATAAACTCTGCTACAATAGGTGCACCTGCGGCCACTGCACATCCCTGTCCCCAAGGGAAAACGTGTGCTGCATGGAAACCACAAAGGTATTTTGAATAGAAATTATACCCCAAGTAATGTGCACAAAAGAAACAGTAATTTAACACACGCTCTAACATCTTGACTACACTAGTCTCGGCCCTTACTTATTAATTCAATTTCCGTCTGTCATAGGTAATGCACAGATGTCAGCAGGTGGGTCATGCCACCTGCATAACCCAGCACCCTGGATTTGAGCCAGTGGCTCTAAATCCGTATGTGCTCCAAGCAGTGTACGCCACATACGTGCAACTGTTTGGAGACATGCCAGAGACCATGGTGAACAGGTTAGTTTATAGTTACATTATAATCTATTGATTATTTCTTTAAAACGCACCATCATTTTTTCAGCGGTTATAGGCACCTGGCCTACCGTAATTTTGTCCGGTGGTGCTGGGGGTATTTGGGGGAACACGTACGGGTCATCATCCCCTCCTGCGCGGTGACCAGGATTAGGAGCGAGTTCCCTGAAGATGGCAATTATATAGGTTTTCTCCCACCACTGGACTTCAACTAGTTTTATTTTATTAAAGTGTTTTATTTGTAATTTATTGTGTCTATTAAAAAAATTTCTGAAAAGAATTGTAACTTTTAGTGATTGGTTATTTCAGTATCGATTTGAAATCACGCTTTTATACTGCACTTTTACTCTCAATATTGATGTAGCTTACTTAGCTTTTGAAGGCTGCACCCTCAAAAAAAGAATATCTAAACAAAAGTTTGAGTGCCCAGTAGAGGAATTTACTTACTATATAGCAACAGCTTTGAGGTGACATTTTCATAAACAACAAGGTACATTTGGAACAAGTACAACAGAATAAAGGTCCTACAATAAAATATTTACAAAAGGAAGCATATATATACACACACACATATACACATATATATATATATACACACACATATAAATATACAATGAGATATATACAAGATGGCGCCTCGTACGGTCGACATGGCTCTTTGCTGCTCTCTTTTTCTTTTGTTTTTACTTTTTAACTGTGCATCTGGCTGTTCCTACACCCGTGAGGAACTTATGAACATCCGACCCACCGTTCCCATGGACCTATTGCCTGTTTTCTTGGCATCTGCGGCTGATTTAGTTCATGTTCTAGCCAAAAAAGTGTGGGCCCGTAAAAGGGGAAAGCGCGGAGGCCTGCTGGTGCGTCTTAGGAGGAGAGGAGCGCGCACGGCTCTCCCCGGCATTTTTCTCTCCAACGTACGCTCACTGGGCAATAAGATGGACGAACTCAGCCTGCTCATGAGAAGAAACAAGGACTTCGCCACATCCTGTGTCCTCTGCTTCACTGAGACCTGGCTAAATGAGCGGATCCCGGACTGCGCTCTGGAGCTGCAGGGCTTTGGGCTGTTCCGCGCGGATCGCCATTGTGCGCTCTCAGGGAAGAGCAGAGGCGGAGGGCTGTGTTTCTACGTCAATACAAACTGGTGTAACGATGTGACAGTGATCTCCAAGCACTGCTCTCCTGCTCTGGAATATCTTTTCATTCATTGTAAACCATATTACTCCCCTCGTGAAATTGTTTCATTCATTCTTGCCTCTGTTTACATACCGCCATGCGCGGACGCGCGCACTCGCAGAGCAAGTACTGTGTATGGAACGCTTATACCCGGACTCTCTGATTATTATCCTGGGGGATTTTAATAAGGGAAACTTGAGCCAGGAATTACCCAAATACAGACAGTTTATCAAATGCCCGACCAGAGAGGAGAACACGCTGGATCACTGTTACACCACTGTGCGCGGAGCTTTTCGCGCTGTTCCCAAGCCAGCCCTCGGCTTCTCAGATCACTCCATGATACATCTGGTTCCTGCTTACAGACAGAGACTAAAGCTCTCGAAACCTGCAGTGAGGAGCTCCAAAGTGTGGTCTGATGAAGCTGTGGAAGAGCTGCGCACATGCATGGAATCTACAGACTGGGACCTTTTCAGATGTGCCACAGTCAGTTTGGATGAATACACGGACACTGTGACGTCATACATTCACTTCTGTGAGGATAGCATCATTCCAACAAGGACCAGGGTCATCTATAACAACGACAAACCCTGGTTCACTGCTAAACTCCGGCAGCTCAGGAAAGCAAAGGAGTCTGCTTTCAGGGAGGGGGACCGCAGCGGCTACAAAGCAGCTAAATATCAGTTCAGGAAAGAACTGAAAGCAGCCAAGTCCCGGCACAGAGAACGACTACAGGAGCAGTTTGGTAACAACGATACTGCTTCTGTCTGGAGGGGCCTACGGGAGATCACCAACTACAAACCCAAAGCCCCCCCCTGTGCTGACGACCACAAGCTAGCTGACGATCTGAACTTATTTTTCAGTCGCTTTGATGCTGCCCCTGACACCTCTCCCTCCCCCACCCCCCACTACTCTAACGACCCACCCATCAGCCCTGCCCCCAGCCTAACAATAGCCGCTAAAGAGATTAAACAACTCTTCTTGAGGCTGCACCCCCGCAAAGCTCCTGGCCCGGACCACGTGTCTCCGGCCACTCTGAGACACTGCGCCAGTGAGCTTACTCCTGTGTTCACGGACATTTTCAACACCTCTCTGCAGTCCTGCCATGTCCCGGCCTGCTTCAAATCCTCCATCATTGTCCCCGTCCCGAAGAAGCCCAGGATCACAGGACTCAATGACTACAGACCTGTAGCACTTACGTCTGTCGTCATGAAGTCATTTGAACGCCTGGTTCTCTCCCATCTCAAGTCCCTCACCTCCCCCCTCCTGGACCCCCTGCAGTTCGCCTACAGAGCCAACAGATCTGTAGACGACGCCATTAACCTGGCCCTCCACCACATCCTACAGCACCTGGACTCCCCGGGGACCTACGCCAGGGTCCTGTTCGTGGACTTCAGCTCTGC